AAAAAAATAGCAAAGAAAGCAGATGGATAGAGAAGAGATGGGAGGACACTGTCCTCCCACAAGAAGAGGGAAGGTGTGTATCCTTACAGCAGCCTCACTCTGTGCAGCCTCAGGCCAGGCATTCAGCTTCTCCCGGCCTTGGTGCCATCCCTGGGAAGACGGGGTTCTATCTGCCCGGTCCACTGTCAGGCTTGGGGGACTGATGAGATGACCCCTGTGAGAGGGTCAAGGCAGGCCGTGGGTCCTGCCTGGGGGTGGTGCTCTGAGCACGGGGCAGGGGGCGGGCACTAAGCCCCATCGGTCCCCCAGGCAGAGCTGCAGCGGCAGGTGGAGGAGAACGAGCAGCTGAGGCTGGATCTGCAGATGGTGGAGACGGAGAGGGTGCGGCTGTCCCTGCTGGAGGAGAAGCTGGCGGACGTGCTGCAGCTCCTGCAGAGGCTCCGCCACCTGGTAGGCTCACGGGAGCTGGCACCACCGGGGGGGGGGGCACTCAGGAAGGAGCCTGGCCTGTGTTGGGCACTGGCTCTGAGCTTCCCCTATGTGGGCAGGTGTTACAGCTCCACTTTTCAGATACAGAAATGGAGGCGCAGGGGAGCCAATCAAGAAGAAGCTAATCTAATTCATTTTATGAAGCTAATCTAATTATGACCTCAAAACCAGAGCATGATAAATACAAGAAAGGAAAACTATAAGCTAATGTCACATTTAAATATAGATGCAAAAATATTAAATAAGATATTAGCAAACCAAATCGGGTAGCATTTAAAGCAATCCAATGTGGCCAAGCTGGATTTATCCCAGGAACTTAAAGATCATTCAAGATCAAATATCCATTAACATAATACACCACATTGCAGATTAAAGGAGAAAAAAACATGTATTCATCTCAATAAGTGAAAAGTCAGTAACAGCCTCCTTTTAAATTATAAAACCTCTCAGCAAATTAAGAACAATGGGGATCTTCCTTAATCAGATCAGAAGTCCCAGCCAGCCACCTCTCACAGATCTCACACTTACTGATGAAATGTTCAAAGGACTCCTTTTAAAAACCAGAACCAAGACCAACATGCCTGTCATCACTGCTCGTGCCACCTGGAAGTTCTAGCCTAAGCAGTAAGGCAAGAAAAAGAAAAGTGTATGGACTAGAAAGGAACAGACAAATCAACCAGTAATTGTGTATCAAATTTATCCACACAGAACCCCCAAGAGACTCTAGAGGCACAGTGTTGTGATTCCTTGGCAAGGAGCCTTATTTTAAAAAGTTCATAACATAGAAGTCAGCTGTAGTCCTAAACAGCACCAGCAAAACATTAAAACACATCTTAGACATAAACTCAGCCAGGACTGCCCAGCACTGGGGGTGGAAGCACGATTTGAACCCAGGTCTTCAGGGATTGAAGTGGGCTCTTGCCTACACATGAGGCTGCCCAGGACACAGGGCTACAGAGGCCCAGCAGCGTGATGCAGCCTAGGGGAGCGCCGAGTGGCAGCCGCGCCCTGCGGGCAGGGAGGGCAGGAAACACAGCCCCACCGGGCAGCCTGGGGGCAAATACTGGGGCTTCCCCCACCCCCAGCTGGGGGGCTCTGGGCAGATTTCCCATTCTTTCTCAGCATTGCTTTTTTCACTAGTGAAGATGAGAATAAATAAGCTGTTGCAGGGGTTAAAGG